CTCTACACACACACACACACACACACACACACACACACACACACACACACACACACACACACACACCGTGACAACCTCGCGGGGATAGTCAGGGAAGCTTCCTGTGACCTTCAAACGTCGAGATCTGATGAAAACTCGATTTCTGCAAACCGGGGTGAAAACAATAACTTTCCGATTTTTGAAAATCTGAGATTTTTAGCGGGAAGTTAAAAAAGCTATAATTATGAATTAACTTTGGATAAAATATAATAAGATATATTACAAATGTTGGGACAAAATTTTTATTTATACCAAAAATTTTTCTTAAGCCAATAAACCTCGCGAAGAAGAATTTATTCGCCTAAGCCTCTAAATAAAGTGGTATCCAGCTCTGAGAATATTCCACTTCCGCGGGAACAAAATTGCTCACGTTTGCCAGTTAATTTATCTTATTTACTTACAACTGCTGCTGCGAAGATCCTGTAACCCTGGTTGACCCTTAAAGTCGAACAATGATTGTAGAAATATAGGTAGTTAGTAGTAATTCAGTAATGATATGTAGATAGTAGTAATTACGATAAACTCAACTTTGTTAAACAAAAAATGCACTTTTAATATAAATTCGTGATACTTCGGTAACGCAAATTAACAGTAAAAATAAAATAATTATAACAATAGATTGAATATTAATTGGCAAGTAATCGCCTGTTGTAAATAATGTAATTAATTGGCTAGTATTCTCCTGATTATGATAAGTTAGTAATAATTAACGATAAGAAATATACCATGGTGGTTAACACCAGGGTATAGATCGAAGTGTCGATCGATGCTCGGGTTTGTCAATTCGTACCCGAATTTTTCCCTTTCCGTGTCGTCTGTGACGTCACGGGAGACATTATTCATTTATCTAGGGTCGGTAACGAAAATTTTGGGAAGTAAGTCACCAGGCTGGAAAGACCGAGGCACCTGGAAAAAATTTTACTGTGCATTTTGTAGTGTCTCAATGTATGACATGTAAGATAAAAAATTGTAACAAATTATTGATTGTTCACAGAGGGAGTTGGTTGAAACGTGTCTGACGAATAATTCGAATCCTGTAATGATCTCCAAAGAATTATTCGACTATAATTGGAATCCAAATAAAAATCCACTAATTATAATCGACAACGTATTCAAAAAGCAGATCACAAGTTTTTTCCCTGCGTATCCAACGTACGTACTTTTTTTTCAGTCGATTGAAAGTCTGAAGGAAATTATTAATCATCTCAAGCAATCGGCACTGTGGAGCATTAAATCACCCTTTGTGATCGTGGAAACCGAATCACGTTGCAAAAATACTAGAAGAGTTCTAGAATTCTTGTGGAAGAAGGATTTATTGTCAGTCTATTACTTGTGCAACAAAAAAGATTTGACGGCTATCTTCACGCTGAATCCTTATGCAAGTTATGCTCCAAAGCCGTGGGTCCTAATTGAGAAATTTGGTGACAGTACCAAGAATATTACCTTCTACAGCTTACAATATTCAAAAGGTACTTTAATTATTAAACATTGTTTTACATCAATAAGTTTGACTTCCAGTTATTTATAACCCAGTATATTTGTTTTCAGACCCAGAACTTTGTAAAAGTATAACTTTCGAAAAGACGGATCATTTAAAAAGTGCGGACATAAAGTTTACATATTTCTCTTCTACTGATAAGCTGTTAAAGAAACAATTTCATGATGATCAACTAAAAGAATTGATAAATAGGAAGGTAACGAATCTATTCAATATACCGGCTTATATTAATGCTACCCCGACACTAGAGATTATTAAACGTGCAAATTCATCTCAATTAACGCAAGGTTTCATTCAACAATTAGTTGATCAAACACATGACGTTCATGGGTCATTGATGCCGGTAACAGAAACTGATTATAAGTATGTAGATGTAATTGCGGACTATTTTCACGAACATGAGTTCTTTATCTTGACCAAAAAGGCAGATTTTTTTACTGTAATCAACGAAGTATCTAGCGATGTAGACTTTGTAGTTATGACAATCGCGGTGTTTGTTATGTTCACGATAGCTTTGGTGCTCATCAACAAAGAAGACATATGCGGGGCTTTAATGGATAGCATGAGATTAGTAGTCAGCATGGGACTTGAATCTCCGCTTAACCGACTGGCGATGAAGTTCATATTCTTTTGTGGATTTCTGTTCGCGTTCTTAATAGTTCCCGACTTTCAGGGCCACGTATCTGCAATCCTGTCAAATCCTATGAGACGCAATTTCGAGACGCTAGAAGGACCTCTACGAAAATAAGTTCCATGTGTACTACTTCGACAAAGTGGGACGTCATATTATTAATAAACAGTTGTGGGTCACTGATGAAGACACAAAATATCTTCATCCATGTACTTCTGAAGAGTTGCAAAAATGTTTTATAAACGCAAAAACGAATGTTACAATAGCTTGTATACAATCGAAAAATTTTATACAGCGTTTTGCTGCTAGGAACACCGACGTGCATGTGTCAAAAATGCCAATCTTCAAGAAGCAATTCGTTTATTGGGCCAGGAAAAACTGGCCCTTAAAGAGTAAGTTCGATAAAGTGGCGTTGGAGACTTCAGAACCTGGTGTAGTAGCAGATCTGGAATCAGCAAAACGGTATGAAGGATGAGTCAAAACTAAAACAATTAAGAATCGGATAAAGGCCAGGGAAGAGTACGACCAATTCGACTATGATGAGTTGGTGTTTATTTATTATTTTGTCGGATTTCTTTCTGCGTTTGGTGCTATAGTATATGTGATTGAAATCATATGGGCAAGATGTATTAGAATTCATTTATAGTATATGTGCACGTATATTTGATTACGTTATTGTTTTTTAATCGTTAATTATAGTAATTGTTAATTAGTGACGTGTGTTGTCAAATATGAAGTGACGTTTCGACAGTTGTACTTAATTTAATTTCAATTCAAAGAATATGAAATTTTTGTGTGAAAAATCGAAAATTGAAAAATTTCTACACATATAAGGTACCGGTGGGTAATGAGACTTAGCTAAGAAAGATTTTGAAAAACATCAAAAGTATTGCATTTAATTATCGAAATGTATTATTCATCCTTATTTTAATACTTATTTAAGTTATGGTAATTTTCACCATAAACAAACACAAAATTGATTTTTTTCAGAAATTTTACGAATAGGCCTTACTTTACTACGGGAGAGTAATAAGGCCTACGGGTTGAACATACTGTAAAAAGTCGTACTATATTTTATAAAATTGACATGAGAGACTAATCATCACTTAAATTTATCAACATTACTTTTTAAGATGTTAATAAAAATTAGGTCAATGTTTTTAAATGATTAAAAATAAAATTATAAAAAATGTTTACCATTATCGGGATTCTATAAACTTGATAATACTTATCGGGATTCTATAAACTTGTCGCTATATTGCTGTGCTAGACGATATAACTAAAGTAGCCTTTAGCGGAAGCGGTCATTTTAAATATCATTTCTGTCACTGAAGCCTCATTACCTACAGGTACAATACTAATCAATATAAAAAAATTTTTAATGACTGTACATAATTTTCTTTCAATAAGTATGATATTAAAAATATTTCACGTGTAATACTTATCAGCACTTAAAAATAAAAGTCAAACAATTTACACATCATTGGTTATTAAATCCTACGACATGAATAAACTCATCATCAGAAATCTCAAATGGACAAGAACGGATTAAATCGGATGGTTGAGCATGAAAATACTCGATCATTTATTTAAAAATGCCAATAAGATAAAACAAATAGATAATTGAATGCAGTGAATTATTAGTAACATCAAAACATATTAAGTAACTGAATATAATTATACGCTTCAACTTTTTTCGGTAATTCCAGGACCATGCAACAACTCACAAGATTTCACAATCATTTGTTTATCTATTCCAGGATTATAGACGATGCTCTTCATGCATTGTAACCTCCTATAGTCGCGCAAGTCTAAGAGTTCTTTCACGGAGCTTTGCAGGACATGACCTTCGATGTTAAGAAAAAAACGAGTAACAAAACAGCGTTAAGACAACCTCTAATTAATTAATTAAAACTCAAATATTCCTCAAATTGCCCCAATATTGATAATTATGTTACGTTTTTACTGCTTGGACATGCAAGCTTCAAATTTAGCATCCAAATATTTCCGAAACAGAAGTGTGCTATATCTAGATGTAAAATACACTGTTAATAAACGGCCTAGGTATTGCATGCCACAATTACAGATGGTAGAAAGAGTGTGACGTGCAATCATCAAACAATTCAATCAACTAATGGCTCATAACTTAACGCGTAACGTAGCAAAATGTCCCGGGAAATATAGATTTTTGTCGATTCGCAACAACAAATGTTGTCATGGATACTTTATATGTTATACTGTAATTTTATTACCTTCCTGGGTCACTAAGCTTTTAACTCTTGAAGAGAGCAGACGTTAAAATTCAAGCGAAATTGCGCAACTTGTTAAATATTTGAGTTTTATTATTACATTCGGTTAGATTAGTAATAATAACTCATTCAATAAAAAGCAATTTTATCGTGTCGAAATCAATTATAAGGCAAAAAATTATTTTGTGTTGTTTAATTGTTACAACTAAACATACAATATAATTTTAAATCGTACTTTTTTATAAAATAATATAAATAATAGCAATAATTAACATAAAGTTACATTTCTTTAGGTCACAAATAATCACAAATTCATTTTAATGACGATAATTCTTCTGATTCACTTGAAATTTTTTTATTCTTATCCTTCTTTTTCTCAATTAAAGCTTTTTTACTAGCTTGTAACTCTTTTTTATTTTTTTAATTGCTTTATCAATTTTTTCTTCTAATAATTCGTTCTTTGATATAACCGATCACCAAAAAAATTAGAACAAAATAAAATTTAATAATCAAAAAAGATTTTAAGTATTATTTTAATTATAAATATACATTTTATAATGATTATTTTTATATTTACAAAATATATTGAATGACTAAAGTACTTTAAACACTTGACAGATTTAATTTTAAGGTTGAGAAGTTAGTATTATAAATATACGGTCATTAATTGGATTGTGATAAAATCAGAGGGTCTAATAAATGACCGAATGAATTTTTTACTGGGTAAAGGGCTTCTGACGGATCCAATAGTTGACCGGTCTTAAAATAATATTAAAACTTATAATTTAACTTTATTTTTTCAAAAAAGTTGGAATCTGACCTTTAATTAACATAATAAAACTAAAATATTTTATATTATGCCGATGAATATCACTAAATTAATGATAAAATGCACTGACTCTCCAATTGTACGCTAGTTATTTTTGACCGCTTTATGGCTGGTTGCGTTGTAAACAAACTCAGAATATTTTTTTAAAGCTATAATCACTGCGCAATTAATTGCGTAATTTTTTATTATGATGATTAAATGCCATATATTTTAATTTTAATACTTTAAGAAAAAAAAACCCTTGTAAAATATTAATTAATTAACTTTTTTATACATCGGTCAACTAATTGGTGACCGGTCAACAACTGGTGCATTTACCCTCCCGTGTAAAAAAAAATCGTCTTAAAATTGTCTTAAAATTGTCGTTCGTTTAAGATCTTAAACGTGACACAAACTAAGACTATTTTAAGATTCTTTTAAGATGCCAAAAAAAAAAAACTTCCGAGATTTTTTAATTAATTATTTTGATTTTTTTTAAGTACTATTTTAAGATTTTTTTCAAGTACGATTTTAAGATTTTTCTAAGACTATTTTAAGATTTAAGCTTTAAAATAATTTTTATATAGTCTTACAAAATCTTAAAATAGTATTAAAGAAATATGAAAA